CACACACACAAACACACAAATTGGTTGAAGTATACCTTCAGGGGCACTAGACTCTTAATTCTTCCTGGCTGGACTAAATGAGTTTCTGTGGCATTGGAGATGCTTGTGGACAAATTTATAAAGACCTAGTTGCATCTGAGCTTGTAGATAACTGGCCTTCAAGTAGCTGAGCTGAAATTGGGAGGGGGCAGAGGAAATGTACCTTTGAACATTTCCCTATCCATATTTCTAGCCCTGACAACTTCACCTCTGTATCTATAATCTTAATTGTCTAATAATCACCTCAGACATTACATATCCTGATTAGCAACATTTTTTTCTCCACCTGCTGGTCTTCCAGTATTTTTCTTATTAGTGAATGTTGTCAATGCTCATCAATTTGCAGAGCCTGTACAGAAGAAGTTATCTCGATTTTATTCTTTGCCTGTACCAATGTATTATCTTGGCTTTACTTATCTTCAGTGTGTATCCTAAAGCTGGGTGTTTTTCCCCACTTGCACTGCTGTCCTTGTACTCCAAGTCACTGTCAATTCTTTCTGAACAAACCAAAATACGCTGCAGAATGAGCATTGAAAAATGTAAATCAGATCTTGACACTCATGTTCAAAAGAAGCTAGTATCTTTCCATTGCAATTATAATAAAACCCAAAGACTGTACATAATCTGCCCCTTCCCTATCCTTGAGCTCTTTCTTTTTCCTCTTCCCATTCCCTCATCCGTTCTACTCCAGTTATCTTTCATTCTAGTGTCTGCTCAATGCAGTCTTCTCAAGCAAGCCTGCCCATAGCCCCTTATCTAAAATTGCCATCTTTTCTCTGCTTCTCACCACACTCTGTGAGTCACCCTGTTTTCTTGGTTTCATAGATTTATTAATATCTGACATTGTATTATATATTTCTTTATGTTTGCTTTTCCCCTTCATTAAAATGTAAACTTCACAAGGGCAAAGTTTTGCCTTATTCTTTATTTCCTATACCTAGAAAATGAGATGAGCACACAATTACACAAACTAAATAGTTGCTGAGTGAAAGAATTTTTATTAAATTCAGATGTGTTCAATAGTGGCTAAGAGGGAAATTTAAATATTACAATCAATTTTTGTATGATGTAATTATAATACAAAGGGATTCATTTGAAAAACATCCTGGATACTTTTGAAAAAAAGTAAGCATAATAGTTGGAGTATGCTCTTACATTAATAGGCAACTTACTAAGAAATATACAAATGTTAAATTTACTAATAATGTTATTGTTAATTTACATAGACTTTTAACTACTCAGATCTTTCCACCTAATTTGCCAACAATTATATAAGGCAAAGGGCTACAAAACTATACAGACATATAATATGTATTTTTGTTTATATCTGTTTTGAAATTTATAAATATAATTACAAGACTCTGTGGAATATATATTTTTTCTCATTTTAAGGTTAAAAATGTAAATAATTTCTCTGTTGTTTTCACATTTTTTCCTTAGTAGAATTACTTTTCATTCTTCCTATCACTTCTTTGTAAACAAGGATTTGGCATCTTAGATTCCATCCAATTTTGCCTCAGTAAATATGCACTTAAATGTCTAATTAAATGACAACAACTAACACTGAAATTTGAGGCAGATTCTATGCTAGACTTGCTATATTAAAGCATCCTGAAAATAACTCATACAGAAAATAAAACAAACTAAGGACAGAAACTATTTCTCTGGCCTTAACAGTATTAAATTATCATTTGAATTCATAGCTTATTATTTGACATTCTCAAAGGAAGAACAATAACATTTTGAATGTTTAGTTGTAGTGCAAAAAAAAAGAATGGCCTTATATTTAACCTTGAAATTAAAGTATTAAAAGAGTCATTGCTGTTATGTTTATAATTGATTCATGGTTTTTACTTATATTTATTGAATGACTGAATAAGTAAGTTAGACAGAAAATATCTGCCATCTTTTGTTTTATGATCAGTCTGAAATCATTCGTGACCAAATTTGACTTTCAACAAAGTACCTTGAGGAACTAGAGAAGTATTTTAAAAGTTTTTTCAAATGGCAGATTTCAGACCTTCCTTAAAAAATCTCCAAATTCAAAAGCAGTTCCCCATTATGATGTTGACTTAATGGTCTATTTTTCTCTATCTTACACAGTCTTCTCTTTATTCTTAATTATATAGGTTTAGACAATTTTATATAAATTTTCTCCTATATCCAGTGTGTAATAATATTTTCTCATGAAAATTTTTGAAAAGATAATTTTGTCAAAAAATCAATTCTCCATTCATATTGTTTCTATTTTTATTTCTTCCTCGCTGTCCTCTAATTCATCAACATTTTTCCTACAGTTAGGTATCTGAATAAGATATCAGTGAGGTCAGACATTGCAAGAAATCATGTTTTCAAATGCCATGTCTCATTTCCGATACATACCAAGTCTGATTTCTGTTATCAATCCAGTACTTTCAGCCTAACTTGGTTTCATATTCCATATGACCATTAAGTGTTTCAATGTTATGTTCTGTTATTTTCCTCCAGGCACAATTCTTTTCTCAAATTGAATTTCTTTCTACTTTTTTCAAACCAAGGAGTGAAACTGATAGTTTTGAACACCCTTAGATGCTATCTTCGGCTTCACAGTGTAACATCATCACCATCCTACATCTGCATAACACCATCCTGCACAAATCTGCCACTCCATATGTTGCATCATGCAAGGAGATTACAATGGGCTTGAATTTGGATCTCAGTCAGAGATTCCCTGGAGACATTCCACAGGAAAAAATATTGCTCAAGACAACATTTAAATCTTTGCCTAGAGCTACCCCCTACTCCAGAGAGAAATATAATGAGAATGAAAGCACAGGTCCCCAAATTCAATGGCCACTTTGTTGTTGTTGTTTTTTGTTCTTGTTTTTTTAATCTTCTTTTGAGGAATTTGTCATGTTCTCCTTGCTGTGATTCTTTTCTGTTGGTACTGGCAGTTGCCAGATGGGCTTTATTTTTAAATTTAAATACTTTATATTGTGGCAGTGTTGCCCATTGCATCATATCCAATGCCAGCTCTTATTCCTTCAAAATACAAACGCTTGGCACATCCTTAAATTGTTTAAAAATCAGTTACTAGGAACCTAATGTAGAGAAAGGGGGGAAGTATATGTTTCTATCACTCCAATACTAAGAATTACTGAAGCATAGAATGGTTATTAAAGGGAATCTTTGCACCTAGATACGTGTTTCTTTCAGTCACAACTGGTGGATAAATACAGCTCATAACATGCCAACAAATAATAAAATCTAGGAGAAGGTGAGCTATTAAAAAGATTCAACAATGCAGAGAACAGAGATACCTCAAAAAAACAAAGCTGATATATTCCAGTGCTCAGACTTTTCCCTTACCAATATACACACAATGGGCAGAAACTGGAAGAGCATTGCAATTTAGAAAGTCATTTACTAATAGCAGAAAGTATTCAACTTGAAAATACAAGCAAAAAATCTACTATGTTGAAACATTTTTCTCTTATATGAATATATTTATATATTAATATTTATTAAAATGAGTAGAATTTATTGTTTGGTTATATAAATTTTTCAATAATATTCTTTAAATCTGGTTTGGCAGACTAGTTAGAGACTAAAATTATGTATAAAGGTATCTTCTAAATACCAATGACCAGTTCCATTATGCGTGCAAATTACTACTTGGGTCTCAGGTAGAATCCATGAGTGAGCAAACCAGCTCCTCATTATATCTTTCAGGTACTGAAAATTATTTATTTTTCCAATTTATTCATTCCAGTGGTCAATAGTATAAAGTGCACCTCACTTCTGTCTTTCATCTTTATTTAAAGTACCGTCATCTGGCAATTTCATCATTTCAGAACATATTTCACATGGAAAGGAGAATCATTGGCCTCTACACAATGACAAAATCATTACAAATCCATACACTAATGTGTGTACTCCTTTAGCAATTACTTTTCCCTTAGCCTTTACCCACTCCTCTCTAAAACTCTCTCTGCCTAGAGATACATTTTTCTCCTTTCAAAACTCAACTTAAATGCTTCTCTGACTCACAGGCAAAATTAGTTGCTCCCTCCTCTGCTTTGCCATTTCATTTATATTATACCTCTTCATTATGTGTTTCTCTTTAATTATGCTAAAGTGTAAGAATTAATGAGCAGAGGCAAATGGATTTATCTTTATATTTGCCAACCAAATTATTTATTTCAAAGTAAACCTCAATAATAACTAATTATTGCAAAAATGAATTAAAAATGTCACTAGGTAAAGTTTTCACTTTGAGATCATTGACCCCTGCTTTCAGTTGTACTATAAAGATTTTATAAACAGACCAGAGATAAAACATGTGAAGCATTTGAGAAGAGCCAGGAACTAGGGAGTTATTAATCAAAGACAATGATTATGATGATGATGATGATAATAATAACAACAACAATAATAATAAATAGACAGTAATCATGAATGTGAGACAGAAGAATTTCAAAAAGAAAAACAAATAAAAACTAAGTTGTAGTTTATTATCATAGGACATGATCACTGAAGTTAAAAATTGCTATCTAGAATCATCAAAAATATTACTGTAGAGAAGTGAGTGACAAAGGAAAAAAAAAGATAAACATTCAACTATGTGGTTTTATCATTGTTATATGTGACAAAAGGTGAAGTACTGAAAAAGTCATCATAAACACTTGGCATTGTAATTTTTGAGTGAGAAATCTGACATAGTAAGTGTGATATTAGAAAGCAAGATTTGTCTAAAAAATATATAAATGATTTGGAATAAAGTACTATATTTTTGCCAAAGACTAATTCTCTAAGTAGAAAGGTTTTTGAATTTTTTGTTTTTGATGAAATGACAAAACAGTAAAAGAAATATTGTCCGTGGGATTGTCGTGCAGTGACTAAAGAAGAGTTACTGTCCTTGTTTAAATGTTTCCCTAAGACTTTTTTTGTGCTGCTCTGTTCATCTTTGTAGGCACCACCTCAGGGAGCTCTTTAGATCATGTAGATAGAATGAAACAGAAGTAGAAGTCTGATGGGATATGTTGAATCATGGGGCATCCTGAAACAACTAGCTGACCACTGAGGAGGACAGTTAGTTAAGAACGAAAAAGTAGACTGCTGCTGCTATAAACCCAGAAGGGCTTCTAAAGATTGGTAGAACAAGACAGCAAATGATCCTCTTTGCTTTCCACTTGCCCATTCAAGTTCTTCAAAACTAAGAGAAAAGCTGAAAAGATGAAAATTGTGTTGCAGTACAATCTGGAGAATATTAACACATCAGTCCTTCCCTTTAAGCAGATTTGTTCCAGATGAGAAGCCCACATGTAACATAACTTTGCCATGGAACCAACAAGGTTTTGCAACTGAAAGAGCACAGCAGAACTTCTTAGCTAAGAATAAATGTTTTGTAAGAGTTTAATAATTTTTTGTAATTTAATAGTATATTGATCCTTAATAGTTTCCTTGGTTCAAAGATCATTCTTATAATAACAAAATAAAAAGAAAAAAAACCTTTTTACCATTTGCCCTCATAACCCCTGGTTGCCGTTTTTCTCAACCTCTAATTATTTCATAGTTAATAAAAGAGGAGGAGTTCTTTCTAAAACTTGCTTGTGGCTCAAGGTTTGAACTCATGCTGCTGATTGTATTAGATTAACTGAAAAGGGAAAAGCTTAATTATGCTCTACAAGCAGTTCTAAAATTATTTTATTTAACTGGTGACTGACCAAAATCTTTTTCTTTGCGGAAAAAATGAAAGAAAATCAACTTGAATTTTGACTAGCAAGAGAAGTTTAGTGTACATAAGATAAATGTATTTTAAAATGGAAGAACCACTAAACATTGATTATTATAGATCTGTGAAAGAATGAGATAATGTACTGTCTTTTAAAATTCATAATTTAAGTAAGCTGTATTAGAATCACATAAAATTTGCTTCTGAAAATAACTTTGCAAAGAAGAAGGCTTTAAGATTTGTTCCTAATTAATAATGGGATGAACATCTTTATATACTAGTTGATACATTATGAATAGAACAGTAAGGTCACAGTCTACAGTAAATTAACACAAATTTGTAGAAAAACCTCTCATACCTAACATAGCTACATCTTTATTGAATTAATACAATTTTCTACAATTAAATGACAGTAAATGCAATTTTCTGAAACAGTATATATCCTCAGTTTTACACAGCAGCATACCCTACAATAAAACCATAAAAGAAAACCTTAGGATGATATAGAAAGCCCTTTGCTCTTTTGAGTAAAGTGATAGGGAAATGCAACTTCATGGTGTTGATAGGATATAAGATGAGAGGCGTTAACTTAAGTAGAGCTGGCATTCAGTTTTCTCTAGGTTTTTCCCTTATCTTTACAAATATACTAAGCACTTTAAATTCTCAAAAACTTTTGTGTCAACAATTTATTTACTCAAAGTTTCTCATCAAGTATATTCATAACATATTGTCCTTGGTGGGAGAGGGGTGGTCAACCAAAATTGTAACCTAGGTTAAATCAGAGTATTTTCACATGACACTAATTTTACTCCATTGAGTAAAGATATGAGAATCATGTGAGAATCGTATGAGTCAAATCAGAAGATTTAATGCAACATGTATTTTTAAAAATTACTTCGGAATATATGATTTCTTCCCTAGAAATGGTTCTTCTTGCAGAGAATGTGAAAGTAAAGAAAGTAGAAGTCTTTACAATCCTATTTAACCTTACCACTTCTCTGTGACCTGCTCATCTTCCATGCCACTTCTGGACAGTTTCAGTTACTCCTTTATTAATGAAGCCCTCTGCATTACCTCTTCCAACACTGTGCCCTTAACAGTTTGTAGCATGTGCATACCCCAACCCTCAAGAGGCTTAAGAGCACCTTGGGTACAACACTCAGCTTATTCCCACAGCTAATATGGTTAAAAGCATAATAGATAGTAGAACCCTAGTTTTTTGCTTGTTTGTTTAATGAATGGCCAATGTTTTTGAATCGAACAATGTGATTAGTATCTCATCTTTCCCAGGTAACAGTGATTTTTAAATTCTAATTTAAAGAATTAAAGACAAGAGTTACATGTATCACAGCATAACATTGGAAAAAAAGTTTTCTCAGCAAATATTAAATTCAATTTCTCCTAAATAAAATTACCTAGATATCAATCCCTTTCTACTTATTTACAGCCTCTGCATTTTCCCTAGTAATCAAACAACACGAGATAGTTGATTATTAGCTGAAGAGTAGGATGGAGGATAGAGCAGAAGTAGATGGTATTCAATTTGACACTGTATGTAAATATATAAATGAACAACAACATCCAAAGATTTTTCCATGTTGATACTAAGAAGGAAATTTTTAAAAAGGTAAATTATGTAACATTTAAAAATTCTCTGCTAACATAGAGTGAATTGAAAATCTCTACAAAATGGTCAACAAATGCTAGACATCTCTTTTATTCTAAATTAAACATCAGTAAAGGTATTATAATAGCAGCTATTTAAAATATAAATTAGGTTAAATTCTCTACTTATAGTTCAGAATGTATAACTGACCCTACTTAAAAAAGCAAGAGAGAAAGGGACAGAGAATAAATGTCTCAACTCCCATACTATCTTTATGTGGCGTGAGCAGGATGTTTACAAACCCCTCTGTTGTGTCCATTTTAAATGTGTGAACAACACCCTCCAGGGCATGTGATAAGTAGCTGCTGGGTGGCTATAGCCTGCTGAGACAGGCCAATGGCTTCTTCATTTTGGCGACTTGGCCATCTGGCTTCTACTAAGTTTGCAGATTTGTGGTCATCTTGTAAGTGTAACATTTCAGTCCTTTTTATAGAAAACATATCTCAAGAACAGTCTTTCATGGGTATTCTGATTAGGTTTGTGTCAGCTGAAAAGCAGAGTACTTGAGGAGTTGAGAGAGGTCTACACAGTTTCTTCTCATTTTATCTATAGGAAAAGAAATGATTATCAGCTTTCACATGAAATGTATGATGTACTCGAAAAACTTCACTTTAAACCATCACTAATGTGCCAAAGTACCTCAGTTTGAAATGTGAAGATCATTATAAAAAAAATCATAAATTTAAAAATAGTCTTGAATGTAGATGATACATTACCTCAAGTTATCTAACAGGTTTGACATTGATATGTCAGTGTGAAAAAGAGAAATATCAGACATAAATGGATGTTGTCTACACACCTTTAAAGAAATGCATCGGGTGCACGAAATGCACCTCTCAACAACAGGACTAAGGACTGGGTGTTGTTTAAGATACATGCAATGATATTTTTCTCAGTCAGCTTTTGTCTACCCACCCATACCCCTTCTCTCCTCCTTACCCCCTCATACACACTTCCTAATACCGTGATCCTACAGGTCACTCTTCATTGTTAAGGTCAAGGCT